TCAGCGTGATAAACATGATAATCAGAACCAAAACAGATGTTTTTAGCAGGTACAAGCTGTAATGGTGCAGCTCTATTCTGGAAAAAGGGGCGGGGAGCAGCAGCTCATTTGCATTTAAAGAGACAGGCCCGAAAAACAGCGTGTTTCTACTTCCACTCAAAATAGGCATTTTCAAAATGATATAATAAATGATCTGTGGGGTATTTTGAGCTGAAACTTTACAGACACAGTCTAGGGACACCAGACACTTATATTACATATTGTAAAAAGGGGCATAATATGTCTCCTTTAAGCGACATGGGCCGCAAGTCGGCCGAATGGAGCGGCTCGAAAGGCGGGCACTTTAGGGCCCTTTAGGACTATGGATAAGTCCCAGGTCGGCACGGTCTGAGGGTGAGCAGGATACAATCTCCGGGCGCCCTTCAAGAACTTAATGACCAAGTCATTTCTGCCGACTGACTGTCTAGCTTAGAGGGAATGATTCGCTGCGATAGTTGCCACATACATTTTGAGCGTGGAAGGGGTGCGCCCGTTATCCAGTAGCTCTTGTAAAAAGGACAGCATGTGGGACACGTCACAAGCTACCGAGTCCAGGCTTCGTGCTGCACCCCAGTCACTGAAGACTGACCATTTAAGAGCGTAGAGCCGTCTTGTAAACGGTGCTCTAGCCTCCAAAATGGTGTTGCAACTCCCGTCGAGGCTCCTGTCGAGGTTCCAGACATGAAGGCTCCACAGCTCCGGCCGGGGGTGCCAAATCATGCCCTTCGCCTGTGAGAGAAGATCCCTCCGTAACGGTATCGGCCACGGGGCAACTGCTGACAGCTGCATTAACTAATAAATTATATATATATATATATATATATATATACATACATACATATACAAATAAATAATAAATGCAAATATATCTACAAATAATTTTCCTGTTATACGAGAGCAGTAACCTAGCAGTAACCTAGTTGGTTTGATTTCTTGTGTTAGGCTACATGAGAAAATAAATAATTTTGCCTACCTAATGTAGTAGATTTAATGCAAAGGTGGTTCGGGTCGTGGTCTTTATGTCAAACGGGTCGGGTACAGAATTAAATTAGTGCTGCTGTCGGATAACGGGTCGGGTGTTCTGTTGAGTACTGCTGGTGCGAGTTTACCAAACAGGACCCGTTCAGGACTCTGCTTTAAACTGCTTTGCGTCTCTCCGTCAGATAACCTCACAAGCATGATGCGCCATTTACAGGTAGGCCTATTTCCCTAAACCGCCACACGGCTCATATATTTTTCTGCCACGGGGTGAGAACCTAATGATTACGAAAACGATTATTTATTTTTGATCATTATTATTTTATTTCAGTTAGTTTTTCAATAACTGTTGTTAGTTTCGTTTTGTTTTAGTTTTTCAGTTATTTTGATATTTTTATTTTATTTCAGTTTACGATCAATCGTTTTCGTCTTAGTTTTAGTTTTCGTTCTGCGAAAATAACCTTGATCAGTACTGAATCATGAAGATACATCACACATGAAATTAATGATTTTTACATTTGAATTAACTCCTAAGGATTTATGGAACAAACCAACCACAATAAAGGTGTTTAACATCGTTTAACCAAAAGTGTCCTATAGGAGGCTACCAAGAAAAAGTGAGTATTATTCAGGAAGTCAAGTGATATCAATATGGCTACCACCACGAAGGGGGTCCAATTTTATGCAGAATAAAACAGCTTTTATGAAGTCACTGATATGAATTTACTGATATGAACTCAAACTTTACTACTTACTGCACATTTAAAGCGATAGTTCAGCCAGAAATGAAAATCCTGTCATCATTTACTCACCCTCATGTTTTTCCAAACATGTATGAATTTCTTTCTTTTGTGGAACACAAAAGAAGATATTTCGAAGATAATTCTTGTTTTTGTCCATACAATGAAAGTCAATGGGGTCCAATGTTGTTTTGGACCCCATTGACTTTCATTGTATGGCCAAAAATACATTTTTCAAAATATCTTCTTTTGTGTTCCACAGAAGAATGAAATACAGGTTTGAAACCTCATGATGCATTTTATTTTTTTTTGGTGAACTAACCTTTTAAGATAAACCAACCATGCATACAGTACTTCATACGCTCAAACTGTAAGGTAACATGTAACTCAAAGTGAAGTTTACATGGAAAAAAGGTAGAGCTCATGCAGTCAAGTTAATGTAAAACTAACCTCCTGATAGACATCCATCCAACCATTCGCCAATACCTGAGAGAAGATCTCAAAAACTAACTTAGTATCAAAAAGTAAAGGTCTTAATGGATCTGTAATACACCAGTGACAAATACTTAAGTCTTCTGATCACTTCTTGACCTAAAATAACCTGACAGGTCAGGGTGTTGCTTCTCATGTGGCAGGATGTCATGAAGAAAACCACACAAGTAGTAAGGTACCATGTTCTGTTTAAAGTTATGGGCAATTTTAATGTCAGACAAAATGCTACAGAATGACTGAGCCACTTTCAATTCAATTCAATAGTCAATAAACTGAGTTTATATTCCACTAAATTTCAAAGCTCATTCACTTTTAAGAAAAACAACTTTAATTTGCGCTTAAATGTGATGTGGCATAAAACTCCACAAACTCAAACGTGATCATTTATAAGTGGCCAAAATAATTCATATTGAACTCACCCCATCAACCAGTCCATGCTGCTGGCAGCTGATCCACGCCAGCTCTGCTTTGACTTTAACCGGCTGTCTCAAATTATGTCCAGGCTGGATTTGGTCTCTATGGAGTGGTGCCTAAATGTATAACAGTTTTGGACACAGAGCTGCTCCTCATTGATTTGACTGCTTTCTATTCTAGAGAGCCTCGATGTAAACTCAGCAGCGGGTGATATGAGGGCTGGTGGGGCTCAGCTGTCAGAACTGTGCTGATCGTGTTGTGGGATGATGCCGGTGCTCCGTGTCTTGATGTCTGTAAGGCAGGCATGAAGTAGCCTACACTGAGTGTCTAATGCTTCGGTCCCGCTGCTGCTTGATTTCGGGAATCCGGAAGTGAACACGGACTGTCTCCAAGCCCAGCGAGACGACTATCTGCACTGAAGGACAGAACAAGCCCCCCTCCCCACCCCCCTTTTGAAATGTTCAAAAATCCTGTCTAGTTAGGCAGCGTAGTTTTGAGACACAACCACTGATTCCCCCCCCAACCGTCGCTTCCGTGCATGTCATTGTTCACCTCAGCTGCAGTCAGAAATAAACACAAATATCCTGCAAGAGACCACCTTTAATAAATACGCATTTCTCTTTCTCGAACCCTCTCCTTTCCTATTTTAATTTATTATTATTATTATTAAATAGTAATAATAAAGAGTGCTTTTTTTTTCTTTCACTCTTTAAAAAATATATTCTATTTTTAATAAATCTATTTTTGTAATTTTCTCCATAATTTCTAGCATATGTTTCAGAATTCACTCTTGCTTTTCAGGTCTGTTCACTTAACATTTAACTGATACATATTCTATTACTATCTTTATTTATCATTTCATACATATATTTTATTTTAAACCACTGTCAAAGTTCCAGTCAAGGAATAAAGAACAATCTCTCATGCTACCAACAGATGGCGCTGTAGACATGATTATATCATTGCAAACGCGACTGGCAGCACATCTCTATGGCAGATTTTCACACATTAATACGTTGTTCTAAACCCTCCCTGAAAGTGCCACCTGAAATTTTATGTTCTAACCTTTTTTTTTAAAAATATATTATTACATTTGATGACTAATTTTTTCATACATTATCGGAGTAATGTGTTATTTCCTTTTTCTTTTTAATTTTACACATTTTGTTTTAAAATACATTATTTTCATTTTATTAATTATCAATGCAAAAATGAATAGTGACGACAATCTCACGAATACGTGCAATTCTACCATGAACCGCTAGGGGCTCGCGAACACCTGCATGGGGTACACTATCTAAAGTCTTTAACTGTAGTTCAGGCTTAGCTGTGTAATTGGTCATTTGTAGCGACATTTTCACTCTCGAAGATGTAGTTATACAGTCTGGAACCATTTATTTTAAAGAAGAATCTTTAAAGGTTCAGGAAGATTCAGCTAGAATCGAGGAAAAAACAAATTCCTACTGAGGTTGTCAGAAGATCCTTGAACATCCTGAAGATCCTTCTCTTCAGAGTGCGTTTTCTGTGGGGTCGAACAGTTAGACTAAAAGGAAAGCAACTTGAATTGAACATTTCGAAATGTACTTTATATTGCACTTTTGTGCATTATAAAATAATAATTTCAGCTAAAAATTAAAATGTGACCATATCATTTAGGCTAATTAAGTGGGCCACAAAATAAAGCTAGCACTAGCAGAATGACACTCCGCTCTTTTAAGGGCCAATACCACCACCAGTAAAGTAGTTAATAGAATTTATGTACTTTATATTGTTCATGAAGTCCAATGACAGCTTTGTGTGAAAAACAGAGCGAATATATAGCGAACGTATATTCAAGCATGCCATCTCAAGATGTGTCGAGCCAGTTTCAATGAGTTCAGCTTGCATGTCTCCTGGCTACAAAGAGTTATTCTGTTCCTCACACAAAGACTTAAAATAGAGCTCACAAGTCTTTATGGTGCTTATTTTTGGAGACTGACAGCCCCAGTCCCCATTCACTTTCATTATATTGAAAAGGACAGCCTGGACATACTGTTAAACGTCTCTTTTTTGAAAGTCATATGGGTTTGGGATGACACGAGGATGAGTAAAAGATGACAGAACCATTCCTTTAAGGTTATATGACCAGGTCTTACATGAAATCGTAGCACACAAGGTTGATTCACTTTAGACGTTTACCTTGTGTGAATACTGTACAAATCAATACACATCTCTCTGATTCCAGACACGCCGTCTCCTGTCTTCCCCTGAGCGATGTGCTCGGCGCCTGAGGACTCAGACCTACCTGTGATTCAAGAGCACATCTGGCCCACCTGACAATTATAGATGGTGTCTCCTTTCATTGGCATCACTGAAATCACAGGAGAGCAGACGTGATGTATGTGGAAGGAGAAAGAGATGTTCTGAATAATACATGACTGCTATTTGGCCTCCTTGATGACAAATAAACCAGGAACAACAACGTCGCCAACCACCAACAGATGGCAGCACCATACAAAGGCAAAACTGTGGTGAAAAGTGTAAGTTGAAAGGCACATAATATATATATTTTTCTGTCATGACAACTCTCGGAGGGATTGTACATGACAATGTTAATGTATTAGGGCGAGCTCATTGGCTACCGATACGGGAGAGAACCAATCAGCTGCCATGTGACAATGATGTCATTAGGTCAGACTGAGTTAGACCTATCGGACTGTGCCATCGAGAGTTTCATGCCAGAACTCTGTGTGTATATATATATATATATATATATATATATATATATATTATTGCTTGGAATCCTGTGACCATCATTTGGAACATATTTAATACAGCTCTGATTCGGGTGATTTTATGGTTTTCTAGCAAGAAACATTAAATAAGAGTATTAATGCATTTTTAGAAATTAAGAAAATAAATCGATTTTAATTAAAAAAATAAATGTAAACAATGATACAATAAAATAAAGTAAAATAATAAAATAAAACAAGCCTATGACAAAATTGATAACAGGGTTGCAATTGTAACCTAAAATAAGACACTCATTAGGGGGCATTGAATTTGTGGAAAAATTTTGTTTTTTATTTGTTGATAAACAATACAATACACGTATACCATACACAAAAGGAAAATATTTGTATAATCTTTCTTTCTTACAATATCTTGGGTAACAGAGTTAAATAGTTGAGCTTGACAAATGCAGTCATTACAATTCGTGTAACAATTGAGAAAATGTAATGAAATAATTTGCTCGTCTTCCATATACAAATGGTGAAAATAATGTTACTTCTTCAATGTCTTCATTTTTATTAATAATTAATTAATTATAATAATTCATATTAATTAATGAATTAGCGGAAACTATATTCAATAAAAACTACTTAATTTAAAATAATTTCCCTACAATTATTATTGTCAAAATAATTACAATTTACAATTATTATTTTAATTATTACATACAGTCAAGAAGGCCAAGACCCCCATTTTCAGGAGTACAAATATTTGTAATCAATTTTTAGATATATTTGAAAAAATATTGTTCTTAAAGATATTTTTAAAAGCAATGCATTACAATATTGTGTTACTCCTTAAAAAAATAACTAATTACATTACTTAGTTACTTTTTTATGGAAAGTAATGCATTACATTAGTTTTGCATTACTTTTTTGTCACATGTCGCACTGCTTGCTTATTTGATTTTTAATAACAAAAAACAAAAAAGTTATATTTTTGCCAACTGTAAAGGCCCTTTCTCTCAACACGGGGACAGGAAAACAAAGTAACTTGTGTTTCTTATTTGAAAAAGTAATATTTTTTATGTAAATTTAAAAGAAACACATAACTTTACTAGTTACTTGAAAAAAAGTAATCTGATTATGTAACTTTTGTTACTTGTAATGTGTTACCCCCAACACTGAACACATATAATTGACCTCAGAACAAAACATATGACATGAATGCCTTTAATTCTTTAAAAAAATGCACCACCAAGTATACAGTATTTTAACAATGTGCAAAAAATAATTCCAATTCAAACTGATTAGCAGTTTTCTAAGTTTTATACAGTATCAAGAAGGTTTCTGAATGCAGGGTAACTTGTAGCATTAGCACTTGAAAGCTGCTAAACTTTGCGCTCAAGGGAACATCAGCTGCCGGTCAAACAGCTGGTCTATAAGTCATAAGTTAAGAGGTTATAAGTTGTTGGTCGATTTTAAGTTATGGGAAATGAATACTATGGCAAAACTGTTTTAATTTAACTCTGTTGGAAGAAAGCCACACTAACATAACATAAAAATGCCATAAAGTGCATGAATACATAATTTTGTGGCACCAAAAGTTCATAAAATTGGTTATGGTAAGTCCCTGCGGTTTTTCTTTTATAGTGAAGAAACATTTTCACATGCTTTTGATTTACGGGCATTCGAGGACACAGGCAATGGGGCGAGAAATCCCACGGAAAGTTATCTACCAACTCCAGCAAACGCAATTGAAGAGGATTGTTGCTATGATGTAACAGTTTTATAAGTCGCCATATATAAACTCTGGGATCGGAGAGCACTCTGGCACACAACACGGCTGCATCTGGGAACAGTCAGCTTCAGCGGAACTTGTCACTCATATCCAATCACTTACAATAACACACTTTTTCTTACACTTAGACAAAAACCTCCAGAGTGTTAATTAGGCAGAATTAAATATGGTTGATTAAATTATAACATAATTCATTCTTATTCTTCAGAAAATAACAAACTGGTAACTTATGAACCAGGGTTTGAAGAGCCATTTAAAGGGGTCCTATTATGCTCTTTTACAAAGTCTTGATTTTGTTTTGGGGGTGTACTAGAACAGATTCTCATACTAGGTTGTTCGAAAAACACATTATTTTTCACATATTTTACATTATTACAACACCTCTCTCCCCAGTCTGGCGTGAACGGCTCGAATAGTTCCTGTATCAAATGAAAGCCCGCCTTCTGAAATACGAAATGTGCTGTGATTGGTTAGCTGGGCCAGTGTGTGTTGTGATTGGTTAGCTGGGCCAGTGTGTGTTGTGATTGGTTAGCTGGGCCAGTGTGTGTTGTGATTGGTTAGCTGGGCCAGTGTGTGTTGTGATTGGTTAGCTGGGCCAGTGTGTGTTGTGATTGGTTAGCTGGGCCAGTGTGTGCTGTGATTGGTTAGCTGGGCCAGTGTGTGCTGTGATTGGTTAGCTGGGCCAGTGTGTGCTGTGATTGGTTAGCTGGGCCAGGAAAAAGTGAAAAGCATAATAGGACCCCTTTAAAATCCACTCATGATCCCATTTTATTACTAATCATCTTGTTGCACGTACTCTAAAACAAACCAAAGGGACACTGAAAGAAAAAAAAGTTTATTTTTAATAATATTTCTGGTGAGACTTAAATATAAAATATAATTTATAATTATATATAATTATTATGTTTAGAAATGTAGAAAA